TCTCACTTTCAAGAAGCAATGGGTGTTAGAATCAACTAATGCCTTATAGTACTTAACTCAGGCAAATAGGAATCTCTTCTAGATTTGGAAATCAGAGTGAACCCCTGGGAGCAGAAATATCATCTTACAAATACAATTACCATTCAAAACAAATTTAAAATTAATACATTTCTTTATTACTCACCTTTGGTAATGTGCTCCTCAGGAGCAAAGGCCATTCAACATTGACCCAGGCAGATAGATGCTAGCATTGTAATGTTTCTGAGGACAAACAATACAACAGCAGTTCTGTGGGCTTGGAGACTGTTTCAGTAGTTTGGAGAGAGGGTTCTTTCTTCCTTTATTTCATCTGTGTTTGAAACTGATACAAATCCAAACCCATTTGTGACTCTCCTGGGAGCCAGGCCTGAAAATGGGAAATTAGTAAAGACCTTAAATTGCTGTATAAATTGCTACATTTTCCTAGATTACATAGTCTGTAACCACAAAAGTAAAGACGTGTGGCAGCCTCCTGGATCAAACCAAATGGCTAAAAGAAACAGGCCTAAAAATAAAAACCTGAGCCCATTCTACATACAGCAACAAGAAGAGACTGCAAGAGTATTATGAAAGCATCTGACCTTCACCTATCGGCCCTTTAGCGGACAATAGCTTAGCTTGATCCTTCAGGGAATTCCTTCGGACTTAACAAGCTTGAAAAATCCTTTTATTGTGCCACAAGAACTTACAGCTCAATTCTGCCCAGATGTACCACATGCACAGGACCTCTGATGATCATGTCCATCCGTGATTGTGTTCTCTAGGTTGTGACAGGGGCCATGAACATTTCCAAAAGATCCGCTGAATTCTTTCAGAAATGATGTGGGGGAAGAAAAATGTGTCACTTTCTGAGTGAGAAGGTGGACTTCCCTTTCTTGTCTTTTCCCTAGATTACTAGGAGAAGCAAAAAGAAGCCAAGGAGAAAAGACTGTTTGCACAGCCCAGAGCATAATGGGGCTGCAATCTTGATTGGGACATATGGGTGCTTCCAGAGTATAAATATTTACTAGCAAAAAAAAAAATAAGGATGAGACTTATCCCAGAGAATGAGGGGATTTCAACGTAGTGGCTTCTGAAAGACCTTGCTGCTGCTTCTGCTACCAGGAGATGCCGTAATGGGGCCTACAAACCCCATTCTGAGTTTAGACAGAGGAGGGAGGAGAGTCTTCCCGCTTACAAGCAAGCAGCTTGACCACACCCCCATGCAGCTGCCAGAGCTGCCAAACATGGAGGCAGGCACGCAGAGCTACAGCCAATAGAGGAAACAAGGCCTTCTATAAAGGGGAGAGTACAGAGAAGGAAAGGGAGGCAAAAAGGCTTGGGACAGCAAAGGGGAGACAGCAACCAGAGACCAAAGCAGACTGCAAGCCCTAAAATTAAGGGATTGCTAGCCTTAATTAGGCTCACGTATTGACCAAACTGAAGACAAGGTAAAGCGGGCCAGTAGCCAGGAGAAGCTGGGGCCCCTTTAAGGACCACACCAATAGGCTCTGACAGGTGCTTGCAGGGTTTGAAGGAGGATTGAAATAGGTGCTGGGTCTGTCATAAACAGACAATGGCTTTTCAGTAACTGGAAACAAAATTCTCTTTTCAGATCCAATTTTTCTGCCAGCGGAAAACAGTAAGGAGCCAAATGTGGCTGGAAAGGCAAAAGTTGCCCTGGGGATGATGTGCAGGTGTGTCACCCACTAGCTGATCAGATTTGTGCAAAAATATGATGGAATTGTGGAGTTTATGATAAAAGCATGACATATGCCACAGTCTTAAAGCATAACCTAATCAAGATTTTGTAAGATAAAACCAAACCATTAACAGAGCCTATCAAGCAAAGGAGATCTCCAAGACCAAGCTGCAGCTTTCCTCCTTCAAAAATGATGGGGAATGCAATGTTTCAAAATACTGAAGACTGTGAAAGACTGTGTTTCTTAATTCATTTTTAAGCTGCATGTTTCTGTAAGCTGTCTTTTCAATCTTTCTGAGACACCGCAATAACATAGTATGCATAGATCAATGTGAAATATCATTATTAGCAAAGAGAAATGTAGCTTTCTGGTCATGAACAGAACCTTGCAAACATATTGTGGTGTTTTTCTATATAATTAATATTTTAGTAAACGCTCCCTGGTGATACACTGCAGAGCATGTTAATTCTTAACATTTTTGTATAATCGCAAGCCAAGACAATAGGAATACTAATGTACAAAAATAAAAACCCACTGGGATGGTCCAAGACGATAAACAGTAGAAAAAATGCATACAGAATTTAAAATAGCTGCCACAGCCAACGTGGCATGGATTGGCAGTAGCCCCAGATCTGAAGATCTTTATTAGGCCATGCCCTAGATCTCGGGCAGATTTCATGCTTTCACCGTAAACCCCACAATTCTTTGGCTACCGCGGGAGCTCTGGAGGCATGGAACCTAAGGCAGATGTGTTGCCTCGTGTCATGCAGGGGGAGTGTGCTGCCTGTGTTCTCCTCTTGCAAGCCCTGCTCTGCTAACTAGTGCATGGGGGTGGGTCAAGGCCCCACCGCTCCCTGCCCATTGAAGGGAATCCAGGGCCACCCAGAGACTGCAATGTCCTTGCATTCAGAGAGAGCAAGTACTGTGACAGTACTGTACCTAAGGGGGCAGGAGGGAAAGGGATCCTTGCCCCCTCTCCTTCCTCTTGCGTAGGGGCAGGCACCACCTGACTGAAATGTGGAAACATGAAGCTGAGTGAGTAATGCATTACAGTGCTTACCTCAGATGGATAGGAATCTGCTATGGATTTGGAAATCTTATTAGACATGTAGGATGAGTGTATGGCTTCACAAATACAATTAGGAGTCCTTGTGGCACCTTAGAGACTAACAAATGGTAATGAGAGTAACCAACTGCAAAAGTTATTTTTCTTCCCTTGGTATCCTACTGTTAATTGAATTGTCTCGTTAGACTGACCTCACACTTGGTAAGGCAACTTCCATCTTTTCATGTATTTACACCTGCTCCTGTATTTTCCACTCCATGCATCTGATGAAGTGGGTTTTCGCCCATGAAAGCTTATGCCCAAATACATTTTAGTCTCTAAGGTGCCACAAGGACTCCTCGTTGTTTTTGCCGATACAGACTAACACGGCTACCACTCTGAAACCTGTCACAAATACAATTTTCAGAGTAACAGCCGTGTTAGTCTGTATTCGCAAAAAGAAAAGGAGGACTTGTGGCACCTTAGAGACTAACCAATTTATTTGAGCATGAGCTTTCGTGAGCTACAGCTCACTTCATCGGATGCATACCGTGGAAACTGCAGAAGACATTATATACACAGAGACCATGAAACAATACCTCCTCCCACCCCACTCTCCTGCTGGTAATAGCTTATCTAAAGTGATCATCAAGTTGGGCCATTTCCAGCACAAATCCAGGTTTTCTCACCCTCCGCCCCCCCCCCCCCACACACACACACAAACTCACTATCCTGCTGGTAATAGCCCATCCAAAGTGACCACTCTCTTTAAAATGTGTATGATAATCAAGGTGGGCCATTTCCAGCACAAATCCAGGTTTTCTCACCCCCTCACCCCCCTCCAAAAACCACACACACAAACTCACTCTCCTGCTGGTAATAGCTTATCCAAAGTGACCACTCTCCTCACAATGTGTATGAAAATCAAGGTGGGCCATTTCCAGCACAAATACAGGTTTTCTCACCCTCCCACCCCCTTTTTTTCAAAAAAACACACACACAAAAACTCACTTTCCTGCTGGTAATAGCTTATCCAAAGCGAACACTCTCCCTACAATGTGCATGATAATCAAGGTGGGCCATTTCCAGCACAAATACAGGTTTTCTCACCCCCCCAGCCCCATACACACACAAACTCACTCTCCTGCTGGTAATAGCTCATCCAAAGTGACCACTCTCCCTACAATGTGCATGATAATCAAGGTGGGCCATTTCCAGCACAAATCCAGGTTTTCTCACACACCCCCCGCACACACACACACAAACTCACTCTCCTGCTGGTAATAGCTCATCCAAACTGACCACTCTCCTTACAATGTGCATGATAATCAAGGTGGGCCATTTCCAGCATAAATCCAAGTTTAACCAGAACGTCAGGCGGGGGGGGGGGGTAGAAAAAAACAAGGGGAAATAGGCTACCTTGCATAATGACTTAGCCACTCCCAGTCTCTATTTAAGCCTAAATTAATAGTATCCAATTTGCAAATGAATTCCAATTCAGCAGTTTCTCGCTGGAGTCTGGATTTGAAGTTTTTTTGTTGTAAGATAGCGACCTTCATGTCTGTGATTGCGTGACCAGAGAGATTGAAGTGTTCTCCGACTGGTTTATGAATGTTATAATTCTTGACATCTGATTTGTGTCCATTTATTCTTTTACGTAGAGATTGTCCAGTTTGACCAATGTACATGGCAGAGGGGCATTGCTGGCACATGATGGCATATATCACATTGGTGGATGTGCAGGTGAACGAGCCTCTGATAGTGTGGCTGATGTTATTAGGCCCTTTGGTGGTGTCCCCTGAATAGATATGTGGGCACAGTTGGCAATGGGCTTTGTTGCAAGGATAGGTTCCTGGGTTAGTGGTTCTGTTGTGTGGTATGTGGTTGTTGGTGAGTATTTGCTTCAGGTTGGGGGGCTGTCTGTAGGCAAGGACTGGCCTGTCTCCCAAGATTTGTGAGAGTGTTGGGTCATCCTTGTTATTCAATCCAAATGGAAAGTGTTCCTTTCTTCTTGCTCTTTCTTTCCCTTATTCCATCCCTCTGTTTCATTTTCCCTTTGATTTCCTACTTTCATGCACTCCTTTTAGCATATTCTTTTCATTCTACTGGGTTCTCCCACTCCCCTTTCACTGGGTTAGCTATTTCTGTGTCTCCCCCTTCTTTGTCTGTTCCTTCTTTTGTTATGTTCACAGCATACACACAAAAAGTAGATAAAAACATACATACTCTTGCTGGAAGGTTGTAACGTAACACTACTTTATTTCTTAGAATGCAAAACAATAACACACAAGAACCCAAATACACAGAGAGAGAAAACAGGCTGTTCCTGAAGACAGGGAGGCACCACTGAACCCCATGTTGCTTAAAGCTGATTTTTTCAAGACTGACTCTGATTGCATGCTTTGCTACAGAGCCCCCTAGCCTGCAAGCAGGATCAGGAAACCCCACCACTCTTAAAGTAATAATGTGCAAATACAAAACAGCTCTCAATACACCACATGTTCCCCAAGACTTTCCAGCTTTTTATTTCTTCTCCAGTTCTACATTTCTCCTTTATTCTGTCCTCACCCCAAAGGTGCAAGTGGCAGTTACAGTACTGAGCCCCCTGCAGAGCTTGAGCTGAGTATTCAGACCAATGCCCCACAGAGCCTGTGTCCTGCAAAGTCCTGGGTTTCTTGCAGTACATGCAGAATACCACACACACCATGACCCACACAAGGAGATGATGAAGTGCCAAACGTGAGCGACATGGGCATTGCAATGCTTCAGGGCTATACCGTATCAGAAGAAGCAGAGTATTGATAACACAGACAGCAGCTGCAAAGCACCAGCTGCCTCTCCCACTCAAAGACTGACTAGGCCTCTGCAGGCAACATGTGGCTGGAGCAAAAGGAGATTATATTTTTATATTCCCCACTCTGCCTGTCTGTGCACGTCCCCTGGCACATTTCAGTTTAGCATTTCAGATGAGCACAGTCGTATTGCTGGGGAAATTTGTGATAGGATACCCACCCTCCCCCACTAGGTACTGAGTGTGCTTCCAGAGTGTGCCACCTTGGGCCTTCATTGTGCCTGATAAGCCCCTCCTAGCGTTGGCAGTGCTGAGGGACCTCTCTGCCCCATTGGGAGGACCAGCAGGCATTGTGCCTCAGGGAAGCCCAATGCCTTCCAGGGTTCCCACAGTCCAGGGACAGCGTGGCTATTGCTTTGCCCCTTAAAGTGCCCCTCCATCCTTCTGGAGAGGCTAGTGCCCATGGAAGCACTAGCAGAGAGCTTGCTTTCAGATAAGGGCCAGGATTTTAATCATGGTCAGCTCCTGTGTGTCACGAAGCAGGGAAGCTATTTTTCCTCTGGCAGTTGGCAGTTACAGTCCGACCCCAGAGAGCATGATACCCACAAGCTCAGGTCTCCTGAATGCTACAGCACTGTAATTTCAGCTATGCCTATGGAGTTTTAGCTGTCAGTCTAATGAGCTTCTTTTAACACAAACAGAGGTAACTTGGCCCCATCATGACTGACACTGCCTGAGGATAGTACTGTTGCCGGCACCCAGTGCCGAGAGGCTGAACAACAGCTTGAGTTGGTTCGCTACCCGGTGTGCTACACCCAATAATCACAACGGGGTGGAAAAGCAGAAAAGTTTATTTGAAGCTTCAAAAAGGTACAGGGAGATTTGAATCTCAAATCCTGTACACAGAGCAGGAAGTTACACAGGCTTTTATACATCCTTTTTCCCAGCATACTTATCCAATAGCAAGCTGCCCCAAGTATCCACAATAGCCAGCCAATCCAGTGCCCAGCTAGTTCCCTGGTTCTCTGTATCATTTGTTAAACTATACATAAAGCTGCTTTATTCAGCATTGTTCTTCCATATCTGCCCTGTGTGGCCTTGCTTAGTTTCAGGCAGTCTGATTCCGCAGCATAGTGTTGCAGATTCTCAGCATAACTCCAGGCGGGGGGGCCAAGGACACTTGGGCCTAGTACGCAGAGCTGCTGCGAGTGCCTCCAGGCGGGAGGGGGGGCCAAGGACACCTGGGCCTAGTGCGAGGGGGCTTCATCGACACTCGTGGTCTTCCATCCCCTCGAGTTACCTAGTGGCCATGCCCCAGTGTCCCCAACAGTACTATGTGAAAGGTTTGCTTAACAAGGTCGTTGTTGGCTTCGCTTTTACCTATGCTATTCTTTATTCCCCCACATGTTGCCTTACTAGTAAACCCATGATTGTATTGTATGAAAAAGTAATACATAAACTATGGCACGAAGGAAAGTAAGCTACATTCATGTAGGAGCATGGAAATCTTGTTTGCAGTGGTGTGTTCTCATAAACACAAAGCAGCATTTTTATATATTCAAAGCAGACATACTGTCTAGGCCTCATGCTGCTCTCCACTTCTTGTTAGCTCTTCAGCAGCACACCAGGTCCCAGCTGGCAGTTGCTAATTGCAATCAGCAGGTGAGAAATGCAGCATCTCACAAACGGAATGATCTGTAGTTCTGGAAAACAGTCTGGGAAATGTGGAGAACCTGGGAAGAGAAAGGGGGATGCTTAAACCTGAACTCCTGTGGAAAGTATTAATTGAGAAAGATAACAATGCACATGACGAATCACATGCTCTCTTGCTGGAAATTATAATGAAGCAGTTTAGTGTTAAAAGCAAGGGGAGTGTTTTACCCCTGTGCGATTTCTAGATGTAATCTAATTTCTTTAGCAGTCTCTGTAACATGACGTTATTTAGAGGTTCAGAGTTCCTTTTGGAGACCGGATGGCTTGAGGGAATGTTAGGGGATGAAGAGGCTTCTGCCTTTGGGGCACCAGTTCAAATCCAGCCCAGATTCCTAGTAGGATACAGCTGTCTGGTGACCTACTATATCTGAAATAATCTGGTGGTGTCTAGTTCCTAGTGGACAGGTTTCCATGGCCCAGTTGGCACTGATTGAGAATCTCATCAGAAAGGACAATTAAAATCAGCATAGTACAGTTCCATACCGGTGATACTGCATGCAGCTGCTGAGGGGAAAAAACATCAAGCAATTACTATCAATAAATATACAGAGCCAGATCATCAGCTGGTGCCAAATGGCATAGCAACTTTGCAGACCGTTGACGTATGCCTGGTGCTAAAGATCTGACCCATTAAATAATTACTTGAAGCAACCAGTTTGAATATGATGGTTTGGGGCTTTTTCTACCCCTCAGTTGCTGACCAGTGCCTGAGTTCAGATGCCTCTTGGGTCAAACTGAATACTGGTCACTTGATTCAGCATTAATCACACAACACTGCAGAAACGCACTCCTGATCAGATGTGCGAAACAGCATTAGGACATCCACACAAATCAGGCAAGCAGTCTGGGGAGGCATAGCTCAGTGGTTTGACCATTGGCCTGCTAAACCCTGGGTTGTGAGTTCAATCCTTGAGGGGTCATTTAAGGATCTGGGGCAAAAATTGGGGATTGGTCCTGCTTTGAGCAGGGGGTTGGACTAGATGACCAACTGAGGTCTCTTCCAACCCTGATATTCTATGATTCCTTTCAGAGTTGTTGCTGGGGAGGATTTGTTTTCAGGCTCCAGAAGAGCACAAGAGTGATGTGAAGAGGAGGCTGGGTGTGAAAACATCATTTGTCCAATTTATTGCAGCAAAGAGCCAACTCCTCCCCTGAAAAACAAATACAGATTTTCCCTATGCTGCTTGGGTAGCATTTTACAAGCAGCTGAGTGCAGAGGTGCTGTGCATGTGGCTGTCCCAGAAAATTGGCACTTCATCCAGGAGAGGGGAAATAAAGCACACCACCGGAAGAGCGGGAGGAGTGGCTGTGAAGCAGTGGTAGCGTAAGAAAGAACATCTTGCAGTAGCAATTGACTCCGCAAAATTTTTGGTGCACAGCAAATGCAAGAGCAGGCCCTTGGATTTTGTGGTAACAAAAAGATACAGACTCCACAGGATTTCACTGTCATGAAGAAATATGGGTTCTCTCCAGACTGTTACTTTTTGTACGTAAAAAGTGTCACTGTTTTAGCCTTCCCTTCCAGCCCTACTCTCTTGGATAGGGTGGTTTGAGTCCCCTGTCTGCCACCACCACTTAATTATAGGCTGGATACAGCTACCGTTGAAGTTGATGACAGAAATTTCCTTGGTTTCAGCCGCTAAGGAGCTCTGAATTAAAATGGAGCGCCTACTGCCTCATAAGCACTGGCCCATCTTAACCACCTCTCCTGCCTGTCAAATGGAAAGGCTAATTGTTTTGTTTCTGACACATTGGTGAAAAAACCTGAGGCAAGTCACAATGCTGAAAACTCTTCTCACATGGACAAATCACAACTAGGTTCATAACTGGGTTCAAGAAAGTACACCAAGAAGCCACAGTGTAGTCAGCAATCTGTTCCGTGACTGCTTGGTGTAGGCTGTGCATCAGGAGGCCATGACTGCAGCACAGGTAGACACACCCAAGCTAGCTTGGATCTAGCTAGCTCTCTAAAAATAGCAGTGTAGCCACAGTGGCACAGGCTGGCTGCCTAAGTACAATCCCGCCCTGGGTACGTACTTGAAGGGCTAGTTCAGGCCACCATGCTATGCAGTGATTTTTAACAAGGCAGCTCAGGTGTGCCTGCATTTGCTGCAATCACACCTCCTGACTGCAGTGTAGACATACCCTTAGGTAGATCCTGGGTAGTGACAATATAAAACCCAAACTTTGTTCTCAGTCTGCAAGCTAGAGTTCCGGGGAGCTTAGACCCTGATCTTGCAAGCTGCTCCATGCTGATGGATACCAGGAGATGCTGTGATGGCCAAAAGTATAACTGGGTTCAAAAAAGAACTAGATACGTTCATGGAGGATAGGTCCATCAATGGCTATTAGCCAGGATGGTCAGGGATGCAACCCCCATGCTATGGGTGTCCCTAAGCCTCTGGCTGCCAGATGTGGGGACTGGATGACAGGGGTTGGAACACTCAATAAATTGCTCTGTTCTGTTCATTCCTTCTGAAGCATCTGGCCTCAGCCACTGTCGGAAGACAGTGTACTGGGCTAAACAGACCACTGGTCTGACCCAGTATGGCCATTCTTCTGTTGTTCCCTGAGCCAGCACAGACTCCCTCTGAAAGCAGCCCATCCCCCCCCTGGGTAGTTCATAGGATCAGAGCCTTAGACTGCACATGTTCTTTGCGGTAAGGACTGACTATCATTTTATGTTGGTACAAAACCCAGCACAGCGGGGCCCGGATCCTGCCTGGGACCTCTAGATTCTACTGTAATAGAAATAATTAATAATAACTTCCATGTCTCCAATGTCCCAAGTGGAGAAACCACATCTGAGTCCTTTCTCTCATCTATTGCAAGGGACACTACAGAACCCACACACACAGGGATGTTTATCTAGCCTTTAACACAAAAACAATATTTAGACCTTCAGGAAAGTTTGGCAAAGGTCACCCCATCCAAAGAGGTCTCAAGATAGACCTACATCCTCCAACCATATCTTTGCTCTTCTTCTTACCTGCAGAGGCAAATCTTCTTGGGCGAAAAGGGGAAGGGGTAGGTCTAGGGGACGGCCATACCACTTTGTCTTCAGTTTATCCTGACTGAGTAGCCAGTTCCCTTCACTCACTTTCAGAATTAACTTCTGGGAGTTGCATCCAAATCCCTCCCACCATGACAGGTAGACCCACTAAGCTACCTTTATGCAAAAGTACCACACTATTCCTCCACCAGCACCTGGCAACAGCGCCACTACAGTGTGCGGGGTAGCTACTGAGTAGAAGGCTGTTGGGTTTCAAATTAGGGTAGGAGGGAAATTGAGAGAGAGGGATCTCACACACTTGAGATTTTCCCCTTGCTGCAGTGAGGCTTTTACATTCAAAATGTCAGATCAACAAGAGCCACCAGGGGTGCTGAAGCATCAGAGCAAGCCATTCAGTCATCCCCCTTAGATGAATACTGATTGGACTGCAGGGGAAAGAAACTGCCAGGGCAAGCCCAAGAGAACCAGGTCCCTCAGATGGGGAGTGAGACACCACCGGCAGCATGACAAAGAAAGTGAAGACTATAGGGCTTAGCAAGCCAGTGGACCTCACGCTACATCTCAAGCAAAACCCACCCAAAGCAGCAAGAAGTTTGGGCCTGTTTTGGCAGGAGGAGGGTTGTGGGACTTGTTGGGGTGGCCCACAGCTTCAGATAAATTTGACTATGTTTTGTACAACCATAGACGCCCAAGGTTTTGCTTATCACTTGTTCTTCCTCATTACTGTACAGCAGAGCTTAGATAAAGAGCAAAACCTATTTATCTAAACAATGGTCACATTTACTGGAAGAAGACACTGGATGAATGACATTTTATAATACCCAATATAATATTGTCAAAATTGCACAGCTGGCAAGTCCTCTTCAGTGGAGGAGAGCGGTTTCCCTATCAATGGGCAAATGTGATCTTTCCCAAAAACACCCATGCACACACATATAAAGAGAGATTAGTGATTAGATAATACTCAGAGGCCTGCAGCCTTGTTTTGTATTCAAATTACTCTGATAAGATTAGGGAGCAAAGGCAGGAAAGCCTACTATGTAAAATGTTCTAGAGGTGCAAAGGCCGCACGTTTTTGCAAGAGACCCTAGTTTAAAGACAGTGTCATAATCCCCAGCCAAATGGGGAGCGAGCAGTCAGCCAACCTGTGCAGGAGGCAGATAGATAAGTGGATGAACTACCATTGTCTACACAGGCAGCTTGCCCTCCCAGTGCAGGAGAAAGCCAAATCTTACTACTATGCATTATACAAAAGACAAAACGAAGCTTACGTTTAAGTAAACAGCTTAATCAGCTTCCCAAAAGTTGTCTTTATCCCGCATTTTCCAAACTAGGCAGCATCTCACAATGGCTGGGCCATAAAACATATGATGAAGCAAATTAAATATTGTATTATTTTAACAGAGCAGACATCACTCTAATAATTCTCTTACCTTAAAAAACATGAATTTATTTTTTTAAATAGCTCAAGCTGCTGTTAAACATGGCAATTAAAATGATCAAAGGATCACAATAGCATGCAGTGCAGCCAAGCTGTTTCCCTGCTCTGAAGCTTTCAAATCATGCAGTGGAGGATCTCATCAAGAGACAAAGAGAAATGGAATACTAGAGTTTTGCTAACTGTTCACACTGAGTTCCAAAATCATCCCACGCTCACCTTTTCAGGTTTAATCTCACACTTGAATCTCAAAGCACAAACATCATACGGTTTGCTATCATTCACAGATGTAAAAGAAACCTGATCCCAGTTTTGAGAGATCCTGGGTCAGTTTTTGACTCTGCATCACAATCAGATTTATGGTTTCCCACTGAAATCTATGTATCTCACTAGCCATTTAAGGTACTTATATAACTCCCTCACCATTATATCCGAGCCTCTCATAATGTTTAATGTTTATCCACACTCCACCTCGTGTGGTAGGGAAGAGCAACTACCCCCTTTTACAGAGTGGGAACTGAGGCACAGAGAGGCTAAAGCCTAGATCCTCAAAGGTATTTAGGCTCCAAACTTCCATTGAAATCAATGGGAATTAGGCACCTAAATATCTTTCAGGATCTGGACCTAAGTGACTAGCCCAAGTCACACAGGGAGTCTATGGCAGAGCAGGGACTTGCTCTCAGGTCTCCATGGTCCAGGATTACTATATGGAATTATACTGTATTTATGGTTGTGGCTTTTGACATTTCAGCCAGGTGAAATGGAGTTTCACTTGGAGAACTTGGCTTTGTTCAGACCGAAAACTCATGGGAGGTGACAGATGAAGACTGTAACCAAAGAAAATGTTCACGTGGCTCCTGATCTAAATGTCTTTGAAGCCAAGGGAACCTTCCCATTGATTTCAGTGGGCTTTGAGTCAGACCCATGAACCGCATAGCAAAACAAAACTGCTGAGTTTCTTAGAGGTCTCTTGCATATGCACTAAAAGACAACATGAACACCACATCCTCCATATCTCACAGGAAATAGAGATCAATACAAATCCAGTTTTCCTTTTGCAGAGATGAAGGAAGAAGGAGACATGCCTCAGGGCCCTAATTCAGCCCTGGGTGATCACCACCCAACACAGACGTAATGAGGTTGAGTAGTGCCAGTATAAGACAAATTAAAACGACTAATTATTCCTCAAAAAAGGTTTTTAATGCTTTTCAGCTATAAAAACAACACAGACAAAATAAGAAAAGAAAAAGTAAAGACAAGCATTGTATAAGAATTAGTATAAATGGCAGGTTATACTGAAGACAAGTACAAGTACATGTAAAGTTACCACTCATCAAGGAGCTAAAGAACAATAACCTTACATGCACCTGGCCTGGCTAGTTATACTGAAGACAAGCACCAGTACATGTAAAGCTATTATCTACCAGCTACTTACCACTAGTTTTATACTACAGTATCGATACAACTAAGATCAATTTAGTTCAAGCAACCAGACTTCTTTACTCCATAATCTTACCCTGCATTCGTCCAAAAATATGTTGCCCTTCAGTCGGTCGTCTTCCACACTGGCCAGGTACAGACAGTCGAGAAGTGGATGTCTCTTCAGTTCAGGGGGTATGGTTTGCCTTATGACCGAAACACAAACACACACACACAGAGTCCTGTGCCTTCATACTTTTTATCTTATCTGTCAGCCGTGTTTTAAAACAGAACAACCAATCAGGGTGGGCCAAATTCTTAGTGTGGTTACTTTAATATTATAAGCTATGCACGGGTGCATAGCTTATCTCCATGTAGCCAATTATCTCAAATGTGGTCAATATGTATCGAGTAAGCTATGCCCAGGTGCATAGATTATCTCAATACATATGAGTTAGCCTAAAGTGTTATCTGGTTGCAGCTCATCCTGACCACAAGTTTCAGTTTAATTCTACAAAACTTGCTCTTTGAAGCTTCTGGAAGTTTGAGGCCTAACATTGACAATACTTTTGTTCATATTAATAACACCTTTATTTAGCAAATAGGGTCAAATTCAGACCTAATGTAGGTGGGTGCCACCTCAATAAGTCGAGTTACACTCAATTACACCTGGGCTGAATTTGCTCCATGATAGCCAACAGATGTGTGATAAGTAGGATGCATTTTTAGATCTTTCCAGTGACTCTGGAGAAAATAAGATGAAGAGTGATGACAAGTCGAGAAGTACTGTCCTATGGCTTCCTCATGAAGGCTGCAAGATTAGACACTCATTGTCATTTTCCTTTTCAGTTTGAAACTGGGCAAACTTAAACCACAAATTGCAGTGATATTACAGCTATAAATAAAGGATGACTTGGACTGCAATGGCGAAGGTTACAATCAGTTTGTTAACTAAGGATCCAAGAAACCACTTAGATTCTATGCACAGCTAGTCTAGGAAGACAAAGGTTCAGTTATGGCAAAGAAGAGTAGCTCCAGCTGCTACCAGTCAAGCACCAACCACCCGCTGCTGATCAGCCCTTGACTACGTAGCATTGCCTGAATCAACGCTGCACTGAAGTTGGTCAGTATAGAGATGCAATGAACAGGTGGGTCTACATCACTGGCCCCAATACCTGCGGCTGCAGCAGACAGCCTCAAAATATGAAGCATCTCCCTGCAACGCCAGCTGCTTGAGTGTGAATGCTCCTCCAGTGACCTGGCAGAGCACAATGATCATGTGCACAGCGGGGCGCACTAGCATGTGCACGGATGTGGCAGGAAGCAGTAGGAGGACATGACAAGATCACCTGGGAAGAATGAATCCCCCTGTTCTTAATTCCCAACCTAGAAAATCCTATTACTAAAACAAAAAACAGCCTTCTCACTTCTACAGGGAGTCTGAGGCCTTCACTTTCCTATCTCTCAAAATCTCAGGAACTGCTCCTTTTGGACATTTAAAAGGAAGTACACCTCAAAAGCTTTCCATATTTATGAGATGTATCCCAGTGAAACTGAACCATCTCTCATCTTTGCAGTATACTTGCTAACTCAGAGCTAGGATTCTTTACACTCTCTGTCCCTCCTAAAGAACCTGGAACCAGCTCAGACTTCAGAACTCTACAAAGGTTTGGGTTTTGTTGTTGTTTTATTAATCATTTCCACCACAGCACTACTTCGCTGCGCAGTAGATGTTCCAGAATGCAGAGACTTGCCCCTCTGCCTTTGCCAGAGATACAAGAGTAACATCTGCACAGTGAGGTGTGATAGCAGAGGTGCAGGAGGAAAAGATGTGCACGGGTTTTACAACAAAACATCGCCATTACCGCAACACTGCCTGTCTCTCTGTTCCAGAAATGGAGGGTCATTATATTTTTCCTGTAAGTGCAGCTAACAATTCCTGGAACCTCACTTCTCCTCCCACTTCCCCTTTCCTGGCTCCCTTCCTTCTGGTGATAAACACTGGGCTGCTCATGGCATTTTCCCTCCCCTCCCCCTGTCCTATTGTAGTTAAATTTAAAGATGCAATTTTCCAATTGGATTTTGGAAGACATAACACAGTGTAAATTGAAATAGGATGAGTCCAAATCTGGTGCTGATGGGGGACTCATCTTCCTCTTCCAGCCTGCCTCTTTCACATTCCCAGTTGTCAGCAGCTGGGACTGTTAAGGTCTGTCTACACTGCAACTGGGACTGACCCCTCCCCACATCCCGGGTGGACAGACACGCACCAGCTTTGTGTGGATGCTGCAGCACAGCTGGTGGTACAGGTTAGCCACCCATGTGCAAGCCTCCCCAACTCCCTGGTCTGTTCTAGGGGGCTAGTCCATGGTGCTGCCTGTGCCACAGTGTCCACACAGCTATGTTTAGCATGCTAGCTTGAGCAGAGCTAGTGCTTGTCTGTCCACCCACACTGGGAAGCACCCTGCCAGCTGCAGTGTAGAAGCCCTGTTCCAAGAGGCATTTCTACATCTTTGCCTCTTAGCTAACGCCTTGTGTCAGGGATCAAAAACTCGAGCTATCCCTGAGTGTGTCAGCTGCTGGTCTCACACTTGGGGCAGTCAAGAGCTGATGAAGCAGCCCAGCTCCAGGGAAACATCTGGCAGCAGCAGCAGCTGGAGGCCAGTGGCAGCAGTAAAAGAAATGGCAAAAGCAATACCCGCTGGAGCCATGTCAGAAGAGGTGACCCCGAAGAGGATGCAGGCAGGTAGCTGAGGGGTTGGGACCATCCTGTACAGACTACAGGTATTTGGGGCAACCGTGGGATCCTGCATTCTTAGAATAGGACATGCTGTTTGAATGAGCCATGTTTCTGTCTTGGTACTTGTACAGTCGTCATCACCTTTGAGTGCCTCAATCATTAATGGATTTTATCTTCAAAACACCCCTGTGAGGTAGGGAAGAATTACAATGATTAATTATTATAATTAATAATTAAGGCTCTAGATATATTAAGTGACTTGCCTACGGTCCACAGGAAGTTTATGGCTGAGCCAGGAAGTAAACCAAGGTCTCCTGAGTGCTAGTCCAGTACCCTAGCTGTTATCCTTATTTCGTTTCTGCATGTGGCTGAGAACAGAGCAGGGAATGGTTACAAGTGCCCAATGTTTTAAAACAATCTCGACCAGGAGTTCTCGACCTTTTTCTTTCTGAGGCCCCCGCAACATGCTATAAGAACTCCATGGCCCAGCTGTGCAACAACAGCTGTTTTTCTGCATGTAAAAGCCAGGACTGGCATTGAAGGGTAGCAAGCATGGCAATTGTCCAGGGCCACACACCACAGGGGGCACGGTGAAGCTAAGGCCTTGTCTACACTGGCAAGTTTCTGTGCAGTGAAGCAGCTTTCTGCACTGTAACTCCTGAGGTGTACAAACTGCCAAGCCACTCAGTGCACAGAAACTGCACACTTACAGTGCTTTTAAAAGAAAAACCCCGACGAGCGACGTACAGCTGTCTGCGCTGAGGCTACGGTGCCACGGTGCCAGTGTAGACTCCCTGGGTGATTGCAGCGCTGCGATTGGCCTCCAGGAGGTGTCCCACAATGCCTGTTCTCGCTTCTCTAGCCATTGGTTTGAACTCTACTGCCCTGCCCTCAGGTGACCAACTGTGAGCCCCACCCCGTACTTTCCTTTGGAACTTTGGAAGTCCCCTTCCTGTTTGCTGGGTGACGCCTGCAGTGGTCTCAGCGCATCTCTCCAGGTGTCCATGCCTGCTCCACGCACCAGGCGATCCCTAGTATGGAGCAATGCCGAGCTGCTGGCCCTCATCAGCACTTGGGGAGAGGAGGCTGTCCAGCCCCAGCTGCGCTCCAGCTGTAGGAATTATGATACCTACGGACAGATTTCACGATGCATGACAGAAAGGACCATGACCGGGACACACTGCAGTGCAGGGTCAAAGTGAAGGAGCTGTGGAACGTCTACCACAAGGCGCGGGAGGCAAACCGCCGCTCCGGTGCTGCGCCCACGAGCTGCCGGTTCTACAAAGAGCTGGACACGATACTCAGTGGCAACCCCACCTCTACTGCGGATACTTCGGTGGCTCGTGTGCCAGTCGAGAGTGGGCAGAGCCTGGAGGCGGAAATCTTGGATGAGGAAGGGGAGGGGGACCAAGAGGCAGAGGATGACTCAGAGGTCAGAGATCCATGCAGCCAGGAGCTCTTCTGTACCCCAGAGGAGGCTGGTCAGTCATGAGCTGTCGGATTTTGGCGATGTGCAAACAGGAGAGGAGGCCCCTGGTAAGTGGCTTTGATTTTGGGAATCGCGGAAGCGAGTTGCTGGGGGCAGGAGGGTTGCAGAAAGGAGGCTTGTGTCTCTATGGTGTGCTCCCACCACATGCCTAGTCTGAGTGGTGGAACGGGGTGTTGGTTGATTCCTTCACTTCACAGGAAGCTGCCTCAGAGATCTCCAGGAAACTCTCATGGAGATACTGGGCAATCTGCTGCCGCAGATTCTTTGGCAGAGCTGCTTTGTTTCTTGCCCCATTAAGGGTAACTTTCCCATGCCACTCTGCAGTCATGGTGGGTGGGGGAGCCATTGCTGCACACAGGGCACATAAGGGCCAGGGCGGAAGCCACAGTCTTGGAGAAGACCCTCCCTTGATTCCCTGCTCACCCTCAGTAGCAAGATATCTTCCATAATGAACACAGCCTGTGGAAAATGTGGGGACAGGAATGATTATAAGGCCCCCCTATAGTGCTGGCTCTCCACAACAGCCACATGCCCAGTGTACAGTACAGTCCTGGAAAACTGATTTTCCCCTGCCCTGCGGTTACTCACCATTCTGGGGGTCTTGTGGCTCATGTGTGCTTGCCTGGGGTCAGCCAGTTAGTGACAGGTATGTGAAGAGTGGCTGTGTGTTAAATCACTGAATCAGTGGTCTGTGTGTTGCAAACAATACTGCTTCTGTAAAATGTTGCATTTTGGCTTCACGGATGTGACCTTGGGAGCCCAGCCTCCCTCTTCGTTATCGCCGGCTGAACGGCTGCACAGAATTAGAAAGCGGCCACGAAGAACTAAAGAAGACTTTCTGTGTGATGTCATGATGCACGTCGCAGCTGAAAAACAAGAACTGAAGGAGTGGCGGGACAGTGAGAAGAGAGACCGAAAGGACAACCCGGCGCTCCAGGGTGAAACCACGGAGTGGCTCTTAAACACTATGGAGCTCCAAAGACACATTCCAGGCGCTACTAGCACTGTAAGTGAGCAGCTCTGCGCCCGCCCTCCCCTGCAGCCGCTGTCGCAAAAGTCTTTCCCATGCGCCCCCCAGACCCCGCCAACACACTCTTATCAACCTCCTGGCTCCAGTCTGT